ATGCAGACACGTAATGCGTCATTGGGTGTTGGATAAAGAGTCAAGAGTCAGTTGTGCCGTCAGATGCAGGTCTGGCAGCTCCCTAAACCTTGGTTTATGCTGAAGATCGTTCACAAACATGTCACGCGATGGCATCATGGTTGTGCTCAGTGCTGAGAAACTCTCGAGCAAACTCTCAAACCCCAGGAAACTATTCGTTTCCAACAGCCTGGTGCTGGTACCCATGCCTGCCGGCAGGAAGAGCAAGAAACCCCTGGCTGCAGGAGCTTCCTGCAAGTTTCCACACCATTGCATGGCTTTGATACCGATTCGCTCATCCTTTCTCTGGTCTCATCAATGAGAAATCCAAGTTTCGGGGGAGTGGTTCGTTTCCAGCCGTTGCTCAGCCAAAGAAAAGGAGAATGGGGGCATGGAGCCATGGACGGATATGTTCTTCATAAAAAAAAGCAAAAAGACATGGGTTGAAGAAAAAACTGACTTTGAACGTTGGGTTTTCTCTTTGCAGTTCTCCACCGAAATTGCTACCAAATAGGGGAAAGCGGCTCAGGTGGCACACGGATACGGCGGGATTTTCATGACTCTCACTTTCGGTTACATTGTGACCCCTGACAAGGAGCTCCAGTTTCTGAATGGGACCGCCCCTCTGAGGGTCTTGTGAGCGTCAGGGGTTGGAGAAGGAGGAGATGAGCCGATCTCCAAGTTCCCAACCGTTTCTGTCAATCCAATATCCCGGAGTCAGCTTGGTCTTTGTTTCATAAAGTTGTTCATAGCTATAATACAAGTGTCACAAGTGTACAAACTTTCCATTCTAGAACCCTTCCACGCAGGCATCCCGGGGTTTTGGGGGTCTCACAGTCTCAACCCGCGTCTCACTCTAGTACGGCCTGACCCGCCGCTTCTGCCGAGTAGCACCCGTAGTTCGTCGGGCCCGGCCCGTTGCCGCAGTAGCACCAGCACTTTCGGACTTCTCGATGTTTCTGAATGCGCGGCCCAGCGCCTCTTCTATCGAATCATCAGACGCCGGACGAGAGCTGTCCTTGCGCTTCATGCTGTGTCGTGTCGCCCTTTCATTGGTATGCCCCCACAGCAGTCTGCGGGGACTCGACATCGTCTCGGGTGATGAAGACATGGGCGGTGAAGATGGTGGCGTTGGACGCCTGACAAATTTCTGCTCTTCATCATCCTCTATCTTGATCGAGTGAACAGGTGTGGAAGAGGCCACTTGAGTGGGAGTCTGAGCCCAACTGTCTTCTTCGTCCTGTACTGTGACACGATGTGTACAACCTGGAGGAAGGCCGACGGATGGTGAATTCATACAATCGCGGAGGAAGTCGAGTTTAGGGTCGCGGATTTTTTGCCCCCGACGATATTTCCAGTCATCTAGAAAGTACTGGTATCGCTGCTCTTCATCCTCTTCGAGCTCTTCGGGATCGGCGAACTCTTCCTGCTGCCACCACCTAGCCCGTTCTGATGCTTGTGCTGCAGCGCTTCCTGGCGCTTCCAGTCTCGTGTCTCGGCTGGTCGGTCGGGTCGCCAGGTACGTCTCAATCGCCAGTTCCTCGCGAACCTCCGCCACGTTCAACAAGTCGCACATTGCCATCCTCTGTCTACACAGTGACACCAGCATCTTTTTTTGGTTGATGCGCGTGAGCACAACGCTGTCGCGAGTTTCCTCCGCCTTGCGCAACGCCCTTCGCAGAGGGCCGAGGACGGCTTGCGAAATTACCATCTCCTCCGCCATCTTGATAGCATCTTCCATCTCACGCACGGCAGCATCTGCTCATTGGCACTCCCCGTCGAACTCATCGATCACGTACTCTGCATTTTTGATAATACGCTCCAGTCGTTCCCAAGCACGATCGGTCATAACTCGCGCGGCGACGGAGGATTCAAGTTCCATCATTGCGCAATTTCTATGCTTGATGGTGGTGTGATTGCCGCTTCTTCCGCAGCCTCTGCATGGCGTCGGATCCCATTCTGCAAAGCCACCGATGTATTCTGACTTCCACAGGGGTTGCATCTGGCAGGCGTGAGCACACTGTTGGTTTTCCACGGGAGCGGATCCTCTCACCTTGAGTGGCCTTCTCACCGTAGACCTTACTTTCTTGATCGTTGTGTAGTATTAACGAATGGAGTAACCCGAGTCCGAGTGAGTCTTATTTGCTCTCCTGAGTATACACTCACTTTAAACAGCTCGCTGAGGATTTGTTACGAAAGTGTGTTGGACAAGAAAAAGCAGTGTAAGTGGAAGCGTGTGGATGCGGGGGTTTAAAGGCCTAGTCCTCGGAGACGCGGACGCGTCAAGCAACGACGCGTTGAACTGCGTTATTGCACGGATCCCCTTACCAGAGTTTCACAGGGGCACACTTGATCGCTGGCACCAGCTTAAACTCAGACATTTAAAGCCACATTCCTGTAGTAGGTAGGCAGGGCTTTAAGAGCAGAGAGTGTAAGACAATTCGCAGGTTCTACGCGTTATCATAGGTAAGATGACGCGTGTATCCTACAGTACTGTCTTTCCATCGGGGGACTCAACTCCACCAGGATGCCCGGAAGTTTGGTGGGGTGATCACCCAGAGGGCCGGGCAACGTTACCTAGGGCGCACCGTATCAGCGGGAATTGCCTTCCTTCATACATCTCCGTCTCAACGCTCTCGTCTCTTGTCGAGGGTTAGCGTCCATCAAATGGCGGAAAAGCGCCAGTGGTAGCGGGCTCTGGCGCATCAAGGAACAGCCTTGCATTCGGCGAGGCAATATCACAGGTAGCTTGATAAAAATGATCCAACTGTCAGGCTAGTATTAGATGTGTATGTGCCATCATCCACGGGGAGGAAGCTCAGCTACTCCGGAGCAAATGTCAACCTCGAGAGTAGTACGGTCGGTACCGATGGCGTTGACCACAACTCATTTGTCTCCGTGGTCTCCTCGCCGATGGCAATGTCTGGCCATTATCGCTGACACCAACTCTCCGATCAAATTCAGATTGCGCATGGAGGGTGGCCAAAACCCAGTTCGCGACGGCATGATACTTTGTCGTCCCTTCTCTCATCACGCAAGTCCATTCACCCTCACTCGGCCGAATGTCGTCGCTCGCGAGGTAGGTCGGCGGAGTGATACTGCAAACCTCCCGCTGAGGTCCTATATTTTCCTTGTTTTCTTCAGAACGATCGTGATCCCTTAGGCTGTGGTCCGTGATGCGTCTAGGGTCAAGGGCATACATCCTCCTCGTGGCTTCATGCAACCGATTAACCAAATGACTGGACTTGTTGATCGTGTCTCGGTGGCCGTCGAAGTTTTTTGTAAAGTCGGCCCAGCGGGTATTATGTTCTTCACGCGTTTTCCTACGGCGATTCCGCGCTTCCTCAAGTGCGGCTTCAAGAGACTTAATGTAGACGTCCTCGCGGGCCAGCGTCTCGTGCAGACGATCCTCGTCCTGCTTGAAAGCTTCCACCCGATCGTTGATGTTTTCTCTTTCAGCTATTGCCACTTCGCAGTCCGCAGCGATGGTAAGCACCTCTTTGCGATTGGCGCATCGTTGATCTCTGACGGAGAAACACAGTTTGGGGTAGACGCTGCCACAACCGCCGCAGGGTACTCGACTCCAGTGGGCCTTAATGCTCTCTATTAGACCACTCATTGCGGATTCATTTGGAAATTGCCTTGCAAGATGTCGTTGAATAAATTGAAGAATATCGATGTATTTAATCCAGGGTACGGCAACGTAGTTCGCAGCGCGTACAACAGGCCAGGTGACTTGTCAATGTGAAAGGTTCAGCGTATTGGGGCTTAAGTAGGAGGGGTGAGATAATCGCGTCCACGCCACACAGCGAGACGCGATCAAGCTACCAACGCGTTGCGGGGCACTGAGAGCGCGGGGCACATCATCCTTCCCAGGGGCCATTTTCGTCAGTGCTCGGGTTACATACACTCTGCTTAACTCCTACAGATATTTACAGCCATAAGGTACAGCATGACTGTAGCTTGACTAAAGTCTGACTGATGGCCTGGCATCTTCTCTATCGGCTTCGTGATTGATGGTGCAACAGATGGAGTACATACATATGGGCGTTTGGGGCTACTCTCACTACGCCAAGTCCTCCCTTCCAACTTACATGTGATATTGCGGCAATAATGTCCTGTAAAAGGTATCAAGAGACGGTTTCGCGGTCAATGCGTACCTGATTTATGTTGAATCATTTTCACTTCATTACGGTGACCTTACCATGAGCTCAACAATCATTCCGCATGCGACTTTACAGTCTATTGAAACTGGCAAGCACCGCTGTGCAGGGGTCTCTGCATACGCCCATCAACGTCTCCAAGGCTACTTACGAGGTCGCCAAAGCGACAATACGGTTCATCTCTGAGGCATCCGACCCTCCAGTGAGAGGCTAGTGGTGGATTACCCGCAGCATCCTTGTAAGGCGTTGATTGGATTAGAAGGATGCATGTAAGTATTCACGCAGTAGGAAAGAGTCGTCACACGTTTTGAAAGTTCATATAGTTATGGCAGAGGATCTACTTTCTGTGTATGTATGTAATAAAGAAGAGCTATTTGGAGCGAGGGCAACTCGCCGGTTCCCTGGGGGTGCCTACCTAGTACCTAAGGTACCTATGGACGTGATGAGCTTCGACCATGAGGGTTGGTGCCAGAGACACGGGAGCTGCCAACCGACCTAAATCCATCTACCATCAAAGTCACTAAGCAGCTCATTGTGTGATGTTACGCCCCTTCATCACGGTCCTACCGGTAGTAAACCTTATCGTTACATTCCGCTTTGAAAAGACTGAAGCCCCCAGGATTAGCATAATGCACTCCATATTCACCATCCGTTTCTCTGCAACATCCTGTCTCTTTTGCTCAATCCTCGTCCGAACTACTACTCGGGTCGTACGTCCAGCTCCATATTCTAATCAATTGGTACACACGCAGGTTCTCAAAACGGCGTTTGTATCTTCGTCACGAGCACGGCTCGCTTACCACCTCATTGCCTTGCCACATTTATCTCTCTACATCCGGGCATATCGCTTTCTCCCCCATTCGTAATGGTCGATTTTGGGAGTTTCTGATCACAGGACTACCTTCCTTGTGTGTCAGCATTTTCAATCTATTGCCTCCATACCGCCAATCGCCAACACAGAGTGGCGATTCGATTACACCCTATCAGAAAGCATGCAAAGCCTGCAGATCAGGCAAAATTTACACCAGTTACGATCAAAAGTCAACAAAAAAGCACGCCGGAATCAATGCGAAAGAACTCCTGATATATCAGATTCCACTCAAGATACAGCTGCTAGTCATGGAACGTCTGGATCCCGTCGACATATTCTGTCTGCGACAAAGTTGCTCCATGCTCTTCTCGGCATTCGAACATGCTTGTTTCTCTAGCCTTCAAAAGCCAGTAGAGCTACCTAAAAGTCATTCAACATTCGAAAACGAATTAAGTCGATCATTTCACATCGCTTCCGACCATCAGTACTCAGTCAATCATTTGCGGCATGGACAAAAGAAACTCAAGGGCTGTGGCGATTTGCAAAGCGGACTCAGGCCAATTGTCGAAATGTATTTGAATGATCCCTCTGCTAAAGACAAACGAGAGATCGCACACAGGTTAAAACTGAATGCCGTTTGCGAAGTTTGCTTGAGGAGTCATCCTACACCTACCACCCTGGTTTGTCCCAAAGTTGACGATTATCAGGAAAAGGGGCACGTGTTTTGCACCAATTACAAAAGAATTCACCACAAGGCTCTATTCTCTGGGAATCAGCTTATCAAAGATCGCCCGATATGTATTGGCTGGGAGAGAAAGATCCAGATATGCCCTCATCAATACATGTCCCTGCTTGGCATATTCAGATGGATAGAGAGAGCACCCGCTCAGAAGGGCTCGAAGAGCCTAAGCTTGTCATGTCAGGTTTGTCAAATGCCCTTCCAGTCAAAAGGACGGGAACACTCTCCAACGCTATCTATCTCCAGCAACCATTTCTTGCATTTACACTGGACTATGGTGGTATGAAACGTACCAAGCGGAAAGCTCGTTACAAAAGACCTCATTCGGCAGGGTCTAGATGCCGTAGAGGAGCGATATGGCAACGAATACCTTTCTCCACATCTTACTTTCAGTTCCCACCAATTCATGTCGCCTTTCGACTGGGAGTGTCGTGTCTGTTCCAGGGAGGCAGGTATAGAAAGGCCGGACTGCTATCAAAGCAAACTTTGGCGTCACATTCGTTCACAGTGTTGCGCTTGTAACAGCTCGGAACACATCGATGCAACAGGTATCCTCATGATGTCCAGTGTCTCTGGCAAAAGAGGCTACTCTTGGCATCAGGTCGATTGGAGACTCTGCTATGCAACGTATCAGTGGGGAGTTGATTCCAATCGCATCCCGCTTACAAGAGATATGTACTTTTCAGGGATTAGTTTGCATCATCAAAGTACTGACATAAGACAACTCAGCCTCATAGGGAGAATGGAAATGTCGAAGTTGGTTCGCTACCTCGATCCGACATCGTACCATAGCAACACACATATGCAACAGCACAGAGGTTGCATCAATAAGGCTTGTTCGAATTCTCAGAATCGCCATGAGTGTTTCTCAGCAGAATTATGGGTAATTTAGATTGTGGAGACACATGGCATTTCGTGGTGTAAGGTAAGTAGTTAGTTTAGACCATGGTGTGGCATCGCGGAGTCAGAGATCAGGAGGCACACAACTAAGTAGTTGCCTTCTCATAGCCATTATCATTGGTTTACTTATCGCCCCATGGTTCCTATAGAGTAATACGTGTGGAATATGCAGACAGTAGAAAGAATGGTAGCATCAGTAGTAGCAGCAATAGCAGTGTTAGGGAAGCCAGGAATAGAGTCGACGTGTTGAGCGGGAACCATCATGGTGTTATCACCTAATTTGAACTACTTAGGAGGCAATCCGTGCTCATGGCCCCTCAGAATATGCTTGGAAAACAAACCTCAAGTGCCAGAAAGCATAGATCTCTGATGAAATACAGAGTTTCAGCTTTCAGAGCCGGAACCGTTGTCCCCAGCCAGGTGATGACAAGATTTCAGGGAGAATCACACCCGGAAATCTAGTGCCCAGGCACACATCGGATCTGGCCGTGAGTGCGGTCGCAACCTAGAGCCCCTATCGTGGCACCTTAGTCTATAGAAACTTAATACCATTCAAGGCCGACGGCTGTTTTTTAGGAGACAAGGAAAATAACAGGATGTCAGTATCTCACTAGGGGCAGGAGAATGCGATGTGTGCAGGATGGAGAAGCGCAGCTAGCACCACGTTAAGATTTGGCAAAGAGATCAACGCGTTTCTTACAATGAAACTGCCAGTGTAGGAGCTCAGATTCCCCGAATGACAGTCAATTGCAAAATAATTGGACAGGTTTGAGGTCTCTTCAACGGGAGGTGGTCACGTGTAGCACGCCATCGACTCCGACGATGGTGAATCAATTGCGCGAGCTGCAGGCAAGCTGACGCGACACACTAGACACCCACACAGTTGCATCAGCCCCAGTTATCAAATATTCCTTGTTTTTCCCACAGTAGCGATACGTCGACTGTAGGAGTTCAATCTCGATGACAACTTTTCGTGGGCAGAAAAAAAGAATGCCCATCAGGAGTCAATCGAAGGTTGTGACGAGGTTACAAACTGGTGGCATAGGGCTTAGCTTTAACGCGGAGATCCAGGAAAAGTAAAGGAAATGTGGCTACCCTTGGCCAAGCTACGACAAGTGCCGCAACTAACAGCATGGCATATATGGACTTACCATACAACTTCTGCATCTCCTCGGAATACAACCGTTTAAGCTGCTGCTGGAGGGTCAGCATTACTGAATAGGTAGCCTGTCGTCATCTACCTGTGGATCGCCCTTCGGTATCAGACCGAGATTTGGAGAAAGCATGCCCCTTTCCTACCCATTAGCACCCTCAAATGCTCGTCACGCCTTGTGGCGACGTTTGATGACAGCTTAGCTGGAGAGTAAGCCGTTCGCTCGGCATGCAGTCCATGTTGAAACCCCTGCTGGAAGAGATTTATCAAGAGACACTTATATAGAATGGTTCGTCTGTCCTGCATGCGGGCTGGGTTTTGGTTTGAACTTTCGCTTTGTGCAGATACCGTACGTCATTGTTCTATCTTTTGACGATGAACAAGATGTCCTCGCAACATCCAGTTGGGAAGCCGTCACCAGCCGGGTCCGATACGTCGTCTGACCATGGCGGCCTGGGTTCCAAATCCGCTGTTGACGACAAGGTTACCGTCGATGCCGCGCCTCCGACAGCGCCCGCGCTTGCATCGCAGCAGACTCAACGCATGGAAGCGGCAATGGGCGATGCCATCCTCCGCTTTTTCAGGATTCGGAAAGGACCGAAGGCAGAAGAGTACGACCTCGACGCGGTGCGTATATCGACTCATATGGACTTGCGAAAGACCCCGGTGGCGTCTAACATGCTCAACAGATTGCCACGCAACCGAGTATTTGGGATTCCGAGAATGTCGAGGAGTACAAGAGCCTCTACATCCACCCGCAATGGGAGAACTGGGCTGCTTTTGATCCCAGTTTCCGATGGACATGGAGAGAGGAACGTGCTGTTAGGCGTAAAGTCGACTGGAAAATCATGGTACAATGACCCCGACAACTCGAAGAAGAACGCAAGCTGATCACTCACAGGTCTGGGCTTGTGTCATGTTCGCAGCCCTCAACATCGACCGGAACAATATCTCCAACGCCGTTTCCGATAATATGCTTGACGATCTCGGGTTGACGCGAGGCGACTACGTGAGTTATGAGGAGACTGGCTCCTCTGATACCCGCTAACCCAACTTAGAACCTTGGTCAAACAATATCCCGGGTTGGCTTTCTTGTTGCCGAGCTTCCATCGCAGTTGATTTCCAAGCGGTCAGTAGTCCTTGCCTGCCATCGTTAATTCGTACTGATTGAGCCTTGCAGTATTGGACCCGATCTGTGGATTCCCATCCAGATTTGTCTCTTCTCTATCATCTCTGGAGCGCAATTCTTCTTAAAGGGTCGAGCGTCCTTTCTTGCGACAAGATACCTCATGTAAGTGTGGTTGTTGCTACTGAAAGACTAAATTACGTGTACTTACGACCCGGTTTCTAGTGCAACCTTTCAAGGAGGTTTCATCCCGTAAGTCTTGGCCCTTGACAGGCCTATTCAAGCTTTTGACTAACTCCTTGGCAGAGACACTATCCTCTACTTGAGTTATTGGTACACAGGCACTTCAGTTAGCAATCCCGTCCCGGACTTCTGCACTAAAACACCCTCCTAATGTCTGTCTCCAGCTTCCGATTCGACTGGCCTGGTTTTGGATGTCTTCGCAACTAGGTACGTCATTCTACACTCCTCTCGAGCTCCTTTCAACTCCGACTGATAGGCCTTTCTAGTTGACATCGGTGTTGGATTCGCTGCTGTCGGTCTGGTTTCGATGCGCGGCATTTTGGGATACGAGGGCTGGCGTTGGTTGTTCCTCATCGAGTAAGCCCCCCCCTAATGATCTTGCGACGCTGTTAAGTTACTAACATCACGTTACCAGAGGTGCTTTCACTTGTAAGTCAACAAGTTTCGCTCCACAATGTTTCGGCTACATCGCTAACAATATCGCTTTAGTCTGTGTCGGACTGTGCTCATTCTTCCTTATGCCTCAATGCCCTGCCAAGACGAAGAGTTGGTGGAACCCCAAGGGTTACTTCAACGAGAAGGAGGAGAAGATCATTGTCAACTCCGGTACGTCTCCCAGGAATGTAACACCTTTTCCAAAGCTGATAAACTCTGCCAGTCATCCGCGACGATCCCCAGAAAGGCGGCATGTACAACCGACAAGGTCTGTCCGTCAAGCAGATCTGGGAATGCTCCAAGGATTATGACATGTGGCCATTGTACGCTCTTGGCTTGCTCTTCGGCTTGCCAAAGTACCCTGTCAACCAGTACCTTACTTTGTCGCTCCGAGACCTCAAGTTCAACGTCATCCAGACCAACCTGCTCTCAATCCCGTGGATCATCGGGTCAAGTATCACCATGTTGGCCATTACGGCTGCTAGCGAGCTCTGCAACAATCGCAGTTTCGTCGCCATGGCTGAGGATGCATGGTTATTGCCATGCTTCATCGCCCTGATTGTAATCGCGAACCCAAGCCCCTGGGCTTACTTTGCTATTGCGACAGTTTTGTTATCATTCCCTTAGTAAGTGCGGACGATTCCGCTTTTTCTTTTCTAATTGCTAATCTCTGCCAGCACGCATCCTATTCAAGTTGCGTGGACTAGTAGGAATGCCGGATCCGTCCAGAACAGAACAGTGTCCGCATCGTAAGTCTCTATAACTCTCATATCGGTGATGTGAAATATAACTTACAATATGCTTGTAGCCTGTACAATATGTGGGTTCAGGTCAGTGGTATGATCGGCGCAAATAGTAAGTAACTCTCCTTCAGACTCAACTTAATAGAGGATGCTGACTAGCCAAGTCTATCAACCAAGTGATGCCCCTCGGTACTTCAAAGCCAACAAGGGCCTATTGGTCATTTGTATCTGGATGTGTGTAAGTAGACAATCATCCTACCTCAAGATTGAATCTCACAGCTCACATGTTCGCAGGTTGTACAATACCCCTTCACCTACTTCTACTATCGGTGGAGGAACAACAGCAAAGCCAAGAAGTGGGATGCTATGACACCAGAGCAGCAACACGACTACCGTGCCAACACAACTGATAAAGGCAATAAACGGTGAGATACATGGACGCCTGGTGAACTCATCTTCTTACTAATCCTTCATAGTCTTGACTTCCGATTCGCCACCTGATCAATCCGATCGATTCAGGTGCTAAGATAGATGGTATGACAGGATTCTGTGTCGTCTTGTGGCTGCTTCTTTGTTTGAATGGTGTATGAAGACAAGATTAACACATAGTACTCTGTCTGCTCAATGATTCTCAGAGCTCTGGTGTCCTAGCCTGGCGAATGAACCAAAATTCAGCTTTCAGTCAATGAATTGATGTCGTAATTATGGCAGTAGGGCGGGCTTTGATGATTGAACTTAGACAAGTACGCAATGGCATAGACACCGATACTTCTGATATTGAAGATGCTCTCAAATGGAGATTCATTTTGCTCTTCCCTTCATATCCGATGCTTCTCCTTGGGTCTCGGATCTCTTGCGCGCAATCACAATTGTTCCCCTCATTGCGTTTGACTCAGCGAACCAGTCAAACACCATTGCTGCAACCTTGAACTTCACCGCTGAGATCCCAAACGGCCGTAACGCTTCACTCTGACTTTTGATATAACTGACGAGACCAGAGAAGACATGTTCCGTGATATCTTTGAAATGGATATCATCTTCATCATAACCCGCGTCAAGGAGCTGCTTCTTGTAGTCTGACAATGTAACAAAAGCAGCAGCAGGACAACCCATCGCCAGGCCAATGAGATTGACGAGGAACCTCTGTCGTAAAGACGCTCCGTCGCTCAGTATCAAGTCAAAGGCCATGAACGAGGCATCGAGTGTCTGCGCGGCATAGTTGAAGATTGGCTTTCTGGAGGGATAGAAGTGGTACAGGCTGTCAAGCGCTAGAACCCATCGTTGTTGGTCGGCGCTGTCCTCCTTCAAAGATCTGATTGCAGACTTTACGTGCGCGCCCCAGGTGTCGGGGTTGGCAGCGTCAGCGCAAAATACCTCAACACTTCCATCTTCTAATTTGAGCTTTTGAGCCTGCAATTGGGCTCTATTTGAGGCCAATCGATACTGGGACTCGTTGAGAGTGAGCCCTACATATCGATAGCTGGTCACACCTCGCTCGTTAATTAGTAGTGCAAGCTCCAGGGACTGGTCACCACAGCCAACACCTAGGTCTAGAATAGATATTGCCGAAGACCGAACTACATCTTCACAAATCTGGGCTTCTTTGAGGACCTCTAAAAGCAAATTGCGACAGGCTGTCTCGAAATCTGTAATGCGTAGGTTGTCGGCACTCGTCCTGGAACATAATGGTAAGTCAGTCGTGCTCTGACTAAGTCAAGGAACATCATGAAATGCGATGGATATAATCCAGTTCAAGTGTAGACTAAAGGGAGGCCAGGTATCGGAGTGATTACGAAGAAGGGTGTAAAATGAGGGCGGACAAACCAATAACCCATGTTCATCCACATGGTGGTGAACGGCACTTTGAGGTTCAGCTTCCAGTGATCATTGTCGTAGACGTCTTTCCGCCGAAGAAAAGTGACAGTAAATGCCAAGGTGACTATCAAAATTATAAATGTGCAGCCAGTCGCGCCTAGTAAGACACCTTTCCAGAAGTCAGGAACGGCGTCAATTGGTAGTGTCATTGTATGAATAAGAATGAACCCATGTCCGCTTGTGAGATGAGGGTGAAGGAAAGTTAGTTCTGTGGTCTAGTGCTCACTAATAAGGTACCTTAAATGGAAAATGAGACGTGGGAAGACATTTGCAGAGAAAGCTGCCAGGTGTAGCTAGACTTGGCGCCAGCTGTAGGCAGGAACAGCGAAGGATGCGGCAGGGTTCGGCACCGGAGGTCCGATGTCACTTCCAACCAACGGACCAACAACCAACAAACCAACAAAGCCCCCCTTGCTGTTTTTCTTCACAGGGACTGCGTTTATTTCAACTTCACTTCTTCCATTCAAACATGTTTTTGTTCTCATTGCGTACCTTCAGTCACTTGACTAGCCGTGCCGCCAAGGGACTACGACACCAAAATCGTCAGCGATTCTCATCGCAGAGATAACGCACCCTTCAAGTAGGACCATTCCATCCCAGCACCACGCCCCGGTTAACCACACATTATCTTGTCCATTGGTCCAGTCACCCATGCCGGCGGTCTGGTCATTCTTCTTGTCCAGATTCCTGTCCTCACCCATGATCTTTCGGATAACTGCCCTACTCTGACACGTCCTCAAGGTCCTTGTAAACCTTGCTGTCCGCAGTACCCTCTTCGCATCGGCCTGTACGTTGAGCGGGCAAGTGCTCACGACTGTTCCTCCAGGCATTGTGTGTAAAGCCTCTGTCCGCGCAGCTTCTTTTGCGGAAAAGTCGGTTCTGAGACAGATAATTTGGGGCGGCATGACATTTCCACGATGATGTGAACAAGCTTTCGGATGTCTCCCTTCATCCTCCATGAGAGTGAACGACTGGCTTGGTTTTGCATCGAGAGGACGGAGAACTGAGCTCTCCACGCGGATTGTTGGCAATGGCTCGAGAATGTCGCGTAGGGGTTGGTAGATCTTGCCAGCCACATCCGGCGACACAGCGAGAATAACCCGATCGAATACGTCATCCAAAATCTGTCCAGCTGCGTTCGCCGTCGACTGCCAGCGGAGTCTCACTCTTCCATCAGCCGTTGAGGCTACCTCTGCAACACACGCTCCTAGTCGGACGTCTTTCATTTCTTTTGCCAATCTTCCTTCAACTTGGTGGACACCGCCGCAGACAGTGTAGTGCTGTTGTCCATGCGAGCGTTTCTTGTACTCGACAACGTCACTGGCAGGGAACGCCAGAAGCTCAGCATGCGTACACGTCGAAACGCTGCTGATGAGTGGGAGAAGGTAGTGCGTGGCATACCGTCGCGGTAGCCATATCCTCCTCAGATAGTCGCCAAATGTCTCTCCCCCATCAGACCCCTCAGTCAAGGGGTGCACCATGAAGCATGCCACTGTGAACCAGAACTGGCATATGATCAGGCACAGTATCTCTACGAAATGCGCCAAAATCCCGCGGTTTCCCGGCCAAGGTGGGACTTGGTGCAAATTGGATGCGTGGACAAAGTACTCGCCAGGCACTCCGCTGGCGCCATCCAGAGTTGCCTGGTTCTTTCCCGATGCTATCGTATCAGGCTTGCGTGCAGGCAGTGATTTGGCGAATGAGAACAAGAAGCGGATGGGATGATACGGGATGCCCAAGTGGTCATACATGCGCATCACGTTGGGATAATATCCTCCGGCGAGTGCGCGCATTGGAAGGTCGATCCTCTCAATACTGCCCGAGCTCTCCTCTCGAATTGCAACCGATGCTGAGTCGAAAGACAGGCTCTCAGCCTACAACAGTCAGTCTACGCATTCGCCCACTACTCCGATCTAGGATCCAATTCACCTGTTCAAATAAGGTCACTGCATATCGTTGTTGTTCGTCATTTTGCAAGAGATATGCGGTGCTAAGCCCGGCCAATCCCGTTCCGACGACAGCTACTCGGAGAGGGGCCTGTCGACTCATGTTGCGATGAGTGAGTCTGAGAGCCTTATGACCTTGAGCCAGCGCTGACATGCCCTGAGTAAGTATCCTTCTCCTCCAATGCGGCGACTGGTTTCCAGCATCAAGACACAGCGAATGCAGAACTCGACGAAGAAACTTTAACAGAGTCGGCACGCACGAATTTGCGACAGGAAACCCACTGCGGAGAGATAGGGTATTTCTCAGCTCACCGCACACTCACACCACTCGCCGGGTACGTAATTTCATCAATGCACACCGTAGCCTCTTCGAAATCTGCTACTCCCCGGAATGAAGCTCCCCTCCGGCGGGTACCATCCCTGAGAAAAGTGCCGGATAGTCACATCACGCACCCTTGAATGGGTGGGTGTCTGCCGAGGTCGAAGCGCCGTCGGGGCAATTCCACTTGGTGATCGACCGTCCGGCGTCGACGAGGCTTCATCCCTGTCGTTGTGGTACAATATGGCAGCAGTTAGCCATTTATTCGGGATCCGACAGAGCTTGAGAAACCTTGAGACACAACTTGCGCCAGCAGTCGGTTCTATGTGAGCTACCCTCTTTTCATCTGCGACGAGACAAACGTCCAAAGACTGTCTTTGACGGCGCTACCTGCTGAGTAGACGACCCGTCCTAGCCCAACGACTTCGAAGAGCGAAAAGTCAATTTGCACGTGCTTCCTTAGTGCCATCAGACGGTCTCATCTGTTCGGACAGAAAGTTGCACCGACTCGATCAATCTGGCTTGGCTTCTAGAGTTTTCCCAAGCGACCCCACACACTATGGTGACCCTGGCTAAACTAAGGTAGCTCGACTGACTTTCTTATGGTCCCCGGCATTCTCGGTCATGGCTTCTTTGGGGAGTTCGCAAGCGAAGACTCATGTTCATTGACATCATATACAACCCTCGGGTTGCCTGGTTATTCTGTTGAGCCGATGAGCTCCAAAGAACTGGTTTCCGACCAGCAGATAGTCGCAAAGAATGGCAGCCTCCAATGTCCGTCCGCTGGCCATATTCACCGGCTACATGGTCCTAGCCGCCGGGCTCACTGCAAAGTCTATCGGTATTATTCGCAATCAATGGCGCGCCTCGCTTTCGCGAAATGGGACAGTCGCTGCGCCAGCCCACCGTCGCGCTCTTGTTGTGTTCAGCGCGCTCGCGGCCTTGAGCCTCGCAACAACCTGGTATCACATGTTTCGCTTCTTCGAGTGGTCATATGGCCAATGGGTAACGACAAAAGCATTGGCTAGCCTCGACTCCACCGAACTGAGGCTCGGCGAGTGGCTGCACGACACCTCTCTCTTCAAGCAAGCTTGGGCGTCAACCCTTGAGACTGGCCCGAGGGCCTGGTGGTCGTTGCAAATATTTGGGTTTTGCGCTAACTGGAGCGCCATACTTGCGGCTCAAGGTGAGCTTATTCTACCTTAGTCAAATCCGGGCCAGCTGTCAGCTTTTTATTGCAACTCCCGAGAGCAATACTAATCTAGGTGCATCATTAGCTCAGAGAAGGTGTATCTCACACGCTTGGATATTCGTACTGCTTGGTCAAGCTGTTGCTATCTCCTTTGCGGCAAATTTGTCTTTCCTCGCAATACTTTGCAGCGAAATCCCAGAACGAAAACCCAATGATGGCAAACGATATAGCCAGACTGTGTCTTCATTCTCTATTCATTCCGTCATTCTCTTCGCTACCCTGTTGTGGGCAACGTCGATCCCCTCCGCCATCAATCACCCCAAGTTCTTATCCTTGCTCCTTGGTCCACACTTGCTGGCATTCGTACCGTTGCTTCTGAATACGATCTTGCCAGCGCGAATGTTGGGCGAGCCAGCGTGGCACTGGAAAGTTGCATCGATGATATGGGTGCTGGTTGTAGCCACACTTGGGGTCTTTGACAGTGGTGCGAGCCTCAGGACTGCGCTTGTAACGTTGTACGAGCATCCTGCGGTTAGCAGTGTTGGATGGGATGTTATTTGCTGTTGGATCAGCTTCACGGTCTGGTCAATCATCGGATCTTCCTGAAAGGAGGGACCATATGTGTGTGCTGTATGATTGGAATGGCTGGTTTGTACTCACGGCGAAAATTGGACATGACTTCCCAAGCCTCAAAACTTGTAATGATCGCCTCAAGAGGGAGCCCGGACAAGCAAGCTGTCACGGCGTAAGGATAGGGAGGAGAACGGCGCTTTCGCCGGGGTAGGATTCTGGATACACAAGTAATCTGTGCCGTCTAGATGAGGACTTGAAGACGCTTTAACGAGTACATGGATTTACACTAGACTCTTACCCCCGCCGAGCAGCATGTTCACCCGCTCTCTTCCCCGAAAAGACACCATCAGCAAGGGAAAGCCCGCTCACATAACCATTGGCGCAGACTCCAGCAGCACTTCGCCCAGCAGCATACAGCCCATCGATCTTGCTACCATATTCGGTCAGGACTAGCCCAGTCTCGCCATCCACCCGCAGCCCGCCGAGCGTCAGTCCGTTGACAGCTTGGATTCCCTCAGTGCGACAGGAGATATCGACGCCATAGAATGGGGCTTTCGATACTGGGCTGCAGTAGTTGGCTTCCTTGTGCATCGGATCCTCTTCTCCGCTAGCGATCGCATCATTGTAGGTCTTGACTGTCGACGCCAGACCGACGGCCGAGATATTGAACTTTCCAGCTAGCGCTGCCAATGAGCCAGCTTTCTTGTAACCCCAATAGAGCCAGTGCAGTCTCTGCATCAAGAGAGGCATGTTAGTCTGCTGGAAGACCTGTCTCTTTGCTTTCGCCCATTGATCCGAGTCGAGAATCAAGAAGCCTTTCCCCCCATGTTGTCTTATCATAGTATCGCTGAGTGCCGCCCCATAGACATCCTCCGCACCCATACGCTCTCCATCCTGAGATACGACGACGCCTTCGAGCAGGGCCGTTGGAGGATACAAGAAACGCCACGCAGACATGTTGTTCATGTTGGAGACTGATCCTCCCGCTGCATGCCCGATCTTAATTCCAGATCCGTCATCGCCATTGGTGCCGAGCGGAGCGACCTGGGAGAACTCGGGGACGTGTTTCTGCCTCATCTCGGGGTTGAATGCAAAACCGCCGGCACTCAAGACCACCGCTCCACCATGTATGGTCTGCGAGGTGGATTGCTCTTGCCAGATTTTGCTTGCCTTGCGGTGATAGACGTCGGCTAGCGGAGTAGCCATAAGCTGGAATTTCTTAGTCTTTTGCGTGAGGCCCTTGTGCTTTTCGAACAGCGAATTGGTACCCGACAACGTCTTGATCTCAACTCCGCTAACTTTGTCCCTCTTGTCATTGAGAAGAACCTGCTGAACCTTAGTCGCCGGCTTGAAATCTACTCCCAGACGTATTGCTGAGTCAAAAAGCGCCTGCCATAGCGCAGACCCAGAGAACCCCGGCTGCACCATCCGATGTCCCCTGGGCGCCGGCTTCGACAGTTTATTGAACGGGTACGACTTCTCATTCCCAGAGAAGTAGAGATAATGCTTATTCGTCGGATAGCTGGTCTTGTAGGGACACAGCGAGGCCTCGAATCGTGCGCCGTGCTTCTCGAGCCACTCGAGCCGCGCCACGCTCTCGTCGCAGAAGCGCCGGAGAGTCTTCTCATCGACTGCGTCCCCCGTTTCCTCTTTGAGATAGGCGAACATGTTCTCCGGGGTATCGTGGCCGTAGCCGGCTTCTTTTTGTTGTTGCGTGCCTCCGCCGGCGTAGACTACACCTCCTGATAGCGCGGACGCTCCACCGCCGTGGGCATCGTCCAGGAGAAGGACCTTGGCGCCTTTTTCTGCGGCTGCGATGCTTGTGCAGACTCCAGCGATGCCAGCACCGACGACAATTATGTCATGTTGCTGGCTGGATTTTACTGAATAGGTGGTGTGAAAGGAACGTGTCTTGTGGTTGCATATGGTAGCTACTCTGAGGTGCGCTGAGTGGTGGCGGGTAGTGAACGACGTTGCGCGTGAGGTAAGCATCGCAGAGGCTATTGTTCAACGTCAACAACAAGAACAAGATCACCGGGGCGCCTGAATGAGAGACATGATAGTCTTAAGTAAACCGCACATGCTGACATGCAAGCGTGATGCGCTCGCTTAAGTATAGTTTGCTTCCCGATTGGGGTTTTCGGCTTACATGTTTGCCCAACAGATCTGGTGGCACGTACATTGCCTAACAAGTAATATATCTGCTACCTTAACCCAATCCGACGCGAAACATTGTTGGGTCAAGCTATAAGTTCGGTGCGTTAAAGACTGTGGCGTCTGGTGATGTTCAAAGCATCGTGCCGGACGCCGCTTAGCATTCCGACCAACCGCGGCACGCGTGGATTCCGCGGGAAGATCGTCGGAGCATGCCATAGCGTCGGAGAGTGCCAAGTCTTGAAGTGCCGAAATCCTCTTATTCGGGTTGAATGCAACGCTACAAGTCACATCACGGAAACCGATATGAAGCCTCTTTCGTCGGATTCTTCACGAAGATACCAAGATGGTCGACTCTCTATTCCCTCAAGTAACCTGTTTGACGCCATACTCCTAGCCACCTGTCAATCATATCCACCTCAATCCGCCTTCCGTTCCTTACGGTTCCCGCATCGAATTCCACACCCTCGCCATTTCCATTGCCTTCAGCCATGGATTGGAAGAAGCCTAGGAGTTTCAGAGCTGGTAGCTCCTTCACACCCAAGATTTGTGATTCTGCAGTCGCTTCTAACCTAATCACCCATTTCCTCATACTAATGCGTTGAATCTTCCGTCCGCAGGCCTCTTCCAGCATATCGAGCAGCTGCTCCCATGAGATAGCGCTCGGGTTGACAAGATTACACACAGCATACGACGTCTCGGCAGTGTTGTGAATCACTGCATCGCTGATGGCTTCAGCACAGAAGTCGACGGGCAGCCAGTCGACGTTCGTCTGTAAGCTCGGCATCGCATCAAGGTGATTCAGCCCAGCCATCATCATGGTGGGCCACATCTCGGTATGGTTCCATGCCCCTAGCCTCGAGTGACCACAAAGCTGGCCGACTCGGAGGATGCGAACAGGGACATTGTGAGTAGAGGCATAGTGCTGCGTGACTTGCTCGATGATGAACTTGGACTGCGCGTATCCGGTGGGAAGTGTATTTGCAGGATCCGGGGAGAGTGGAAGCTCTGGCACTTTGGTGCCGGCGGGGCTTCCCATTGCTGCGGCGACGCTGCTCATGAAGTTGAATGTCTTCTTGAGCCCCTTGAGGCAGAAAGACATGAGATGCATGGTTCCTAACCAGATATTCGTTAGCTCAGAGGCTTCATGTCGGCATAGTTAACCTGGGCTTCACCTCTCAGGCAGTCGTCTTCGAACTGTTGAATCGGCTGATTGAAATCCAACTTCCAAGCGTTGTGCATCACAGTGGTCACCTCATTCGCCAGACGTTGATACATCCGCTCGTCCAATCCTAGCTTTCCGTCCTTCATGTCATAGCTGACGGGTACAATCTTCTCGCTTTGATGAATGATCGCAGGATACCCTCTCTCTTTCAAAGAGCCCCAGACGCGAGCTTGAGGATCTGCTCCTCGTACGGCGCAGTAAATCTTTTGAACAGTTGCCATCTGGACCAGGACTTCCAATAGTGCGTTGCCCAGAGCACCGCTGGCTCCCGTGAGATATATCACTTCTCCCTCGTTTCCAAAATCTTCCTGTTGAGCTTGATTGACTTGCAAGTTGTCGATCTCAATGTTCATGCGGCGGATGGTCGACCTGATCCACTCATAGTGGTTGCTGGCCGCCGAGGCATTGCTATTAAGACCACCTTTGAATAGCTGAAGGAACTCGAGAAGCTTCCTTGCCGTAGGATATTCGAAGATGAACATCAAAGGGAACGCCCCGAACGACTTCACAAGTCTCGATCGTATCTCGACGGCGCGCATAGAATCGAGACCGAGTTCGTACCAGTTTTGGTCTGGCGCCAAATCTTCCACAGAGAGATCGAATACATCAGCGACAACGGTTTGAACGATTTCGAGATCCGAAGTACCGGAGTTCCTGGAAGGAAACGGCTTGGAGGCCTTATCAGACTCGAGCTGGTTGCCTAGGAAGGAGTTGTAAAGTTCTTCCACCCTATCTCCATACAGATCCCAGGCAATTGTCCGTCGCACGTTCCCTTTTGGAGTGACTGGCAACGTCTCCTCATTTTGCAGAATGAGAACCGTTTGACGAGGGATTCGTGAGTACGTCGGAGAATTCCTGTTGCAGATATCCACTACTTTCCACACCTCTTCAGCAAGATCAGGTTCTGATATGGATCGCTTCTCCACCTCAGACCAGTCGATCTCAACAACGACGGAAGGGCAAGGCTTTCCTGTGCCAAACACTGCCGTCTTCGCAATAGTGCTCGTCTTATCTTCTTCAAGCGCCATGGCGAGAGCCGCGGCATGTGTCTTCTCTCCATTGCTGTGCACGAGAATGTCATCTCTGCGGCCTTGGAGGACGAAATACCCGCTCCCTGGGGGGTCCTCGATGAACAAGTCCCCCGTACGGTATGGATTCGGCGCCGTCTCCTCAAGCCAGAGCTCTGCGGCTAGAGGAAACCCTCGATATACAACGCACTCGAAGAGGTTATCCGCAATGGACTCCATGCCTACATGTTCTGACTCTGGGTACAAGTTGCGGAAGCGGTACACGTCTGGATTGTCTCTTGTGTGAGGTATTGTCCGAAGAGGCGGACCGGTTTCTGTTGTACCATATGTTGTTTTAACATTGACGCCGATGTTCTGAAGTTTGGACAGCATTGAAGGGGACAGTGAAGCTCCGCCGGGCTGTAGGACCTTCAAGTCCGTCAGAGGAGTGTAGTCTCTGGTGGTCAGAGTGATGTATTCGTAGAGGTCCTCAATGACTGAGGGTGCGCAGTGCAGGCAGTCGGGCGGATAGCCGAGGCTAGTCAAGGACTTCCATGCAGAAAGTATTGAACTTGGGGCCGGTGGCCATTGTGTTGGAGGTAAGGAGGTAGGTAGACCGGTTGGGAGTCCCGACAGGGCGATTGACAACCCAGCTACGTGGAATCTAAGATGTATGAGCATGCGCAGGAGGAACAGCAGGGAGATTCTAGGTCTCACAAGGGAAAACACAGATACCAGTTCTCAATGAAGAACTCCGGGAGTAATCTGTACATCCGTGCAATTTGACACAGACTCCGATTCGTGTGGATAATTGGTTTCGGCACTCCCGTAGAACCAGATGAGTGGATGATCATTGACTGGAGAGTCCACTCATCATCAGTCTCAAACCCTATGCAGGGTTCTTCAAAAGCCTCTGGTTTGTTTTCTCTCAGCTCATCTAAGCTGATGAGTTTCGTCAACGGGAGTTGACCCGGGCTTTCCCCATGGAGTGAAGCTTCATTCGCCTCGTCGATGATTATTGCAATAACATTGCACACTCGAAGAAGATGATCTCTCGTTGCCAGAGAGTTCTTGTTGCTAAGAAGCAGGACCCGAAGGTGCAGACGATTTAGGGCGAATTGGGTGATGAGATACGAGATCGAGTTGCCGACGCCGAGGAGAGCGACAGTGGGTTGCTGACCCGTTTCATTGGCAGCACCAATTTCCTCTCGAAACTGCTTTGAGTAGAGACTCGATGCTCTAAGGTAAAACTGATTGAGCCGGGCCCAGTCCAGCACTTCGAAGGAGTCACCGATAGGATGTATGAAAGCCGGCTTGGAGGGTTGAGTCACGGCATTATGCTCAACCAATGCCGCGACACTCGTCAATTTCGGGTCAGAAAATCTGAAAATTCAGTGTTAGAGTCATTGGAACTTCAAATCATAATAGAAACGAGGGTATTTGGGACCTTGAGCTATGGGGATGTCCGTGGAGTTGCCATAATTTCTTCAACTTCTCGTCGGCATCTAGTGCAGGGAAAACGGTCGGGTCGACGGCAGCAATTGATGAGGGTGAATTCAGGTCAGACATTACAATCGGTGCCATCTTGCCAAGGGTTACACGAAGGGAGGCCTTCAATGTTGTCTTGACTCTCTGAAGCTGATTTTCCGTCAGTCAAGCTCCTTCCATCGATATCCAATAAGTATCACACTTCTACCGCGGACCACGGGAGAATCGATTGACAATATTGTTATGAATCGTCACCCAAGATCAATCCTATCGAGTCAAGTAATCTCTCTACAACTTGAACTATGCTGACGCCGATCAGCTGATTAGATTATGCAACGCCTATCATAGTCCTTGTTGGAGTAACGCAACATCAGAAAAGGATAGGCCAATGATATCCCCGATAATCGGTCTGATAACAACCCACGCCTATCGCGTGCCTATCACAAACATTATGGGCGTGGTACGCATCCGGAAACCGCACGACCATGGCGCTCGGCAACGACGATAGCAGGATAGCTGAAAGGGAATCTGATAAGCCTCGTCTTAGAAACGAGACCGGATGCGCAACAACGTAAAAATAATTAGACATCGTTTGTTCCCGCTCCCCGCACGCACCATTGGCAACTTCAATTGTGCCATTGATCGCCCTGACCTTCCCTTTTCTCCTAAAGGTGAAGCCCACGTATAGGTAGTTGAGACTCGAGAACTTACTGCGGTTACACGCATAGCAGTCGCTACAACGATGGGTCTACGGAAGCGCTTGGAGCTCCGCTCCGAGAGCGCCGACCTCGGCACGGAGGGAGGCCGGCTCTCGAACAAGGACATGGATCCTATTCCGATGGGCTCTCCGGAGCGCACCTGGGGTTGGCCGAGTTTGCTCGGATTCTGGATCGCCGAAGCCTTTTCCATCTCGATGTATCAAGGTAAGTGTTCACATAGGCAGTCCGGAAACAAATTGGTGACTCGAGATGGCTATTAACATCCGTTCTCAATCACAACAGTCTCTTCAACCTCTGTCACAAAAGGTCTGAACCCGGGCCTTGCAATCCTTGCAGTGTTCATCGGCCACGTCCTGGTCTGCATCCCGGCAATGCTAGATGGCTACGTCGGCTGCATCTTTGGCATCAATTTTCCCGTCTTTACCAGAGCTTCCTTTGGCCTCCGGGGTTCATATGGCGCCGTCTTCGTCCGTGGTGTCGTGGCTTGTATCTGGTTCGGCACTCAGTCGTTTCAGGGTGGGCAGTGTCTGCAGGTCATGATCTCCGCCATCTGGCCGTCATTCAACAACTTCCCGAATCACCTCGCCGAAAGCGCGCACGTCACCAGCTCCGAGCTGTTATGCTTTTTCTTGTTCATCATCGTTCAGCTGCCACTGCTCTGGTTGCATGTAAGCAGTCTAAGGTACATGTTCATGGTGAAGACTGTGATTATGCCAGTCTTTGGGTTGACGTTGTTCATCTGGGCCATTGTTGCTGGTATGCTCTTCATATCCAGCCAGACCCAAGGGCAACTTATCTGACCTCTTCTCAGGCAAGGGCTTCGGCCCGACATTCTCAAAACCAACTATCATCAAGGATGGCACGCCCGCTATTGTCGTATTCTTCCAATGTGTCACCAGCGCTATTGGCCCCAAGGCAACCCTCGCCCTCAACATGCCCGACTTCACGCGTTATGCAAAGGAGCCCCGACAGGTCTTCTGGACGCAAGCCGTCGGCCTATGCGTCTTAGTCACGATGTGTGGTGTGCTAGGTGCGACCGTCAGCAGCGCCTCGGAAGTCATCTACGGCAAGGTGACCTGGAACCCCCTGGAAGTCGCACGGCTGTGGGACAACCGCGCTGCTCAGTTCTTCGCGGGTCTCTGTTGGGCGTTTGCAGTGATTGGCACAAATATCAGTGCCAACAGCGTCTCTTTCAGCAATGATTTGGCGCTATGGTTTCCAAAGTATATCAACAATAGGCGCGGAGCATATATCTGTGCCGTGTTTGGCGTATGTGCCGTGCCCTGGTACATCCAGTACAGGTGAGTTGTGTTTGTGTGTTGTCCGATGGTCGATCTTTTGTACTAACCTGTGGACTTCCTCGCAGTGCTAAATCCTTCTCCTCTTTCCTTGGTGGATACTCTCTCTTTCTGGGCGCCATTGCAGGCATCATCATCACCGACTTTTGGATCTGCCGCAAGCGTGCAATGGCAGTCTCGTCCCTCTTTGATCCGCGAGGCATACACTACTACACTTTTGGCGTCAACCCCCGAGCGGTTATCGCCTTCATCTTTGCCATCATTCCCAACATGCCCGGTCTTGCCGCTGCTTGTGGCGCCAAGGGAGTTCCCAAGGGGGCCATTTATCTCTACAGCTTGAGTTGGCTTGTCAGTACCTTGGTGGCTAGTTTCACGTATTGGGTGTGTTGGAAGATGAAGCCATTCCCCGTGGATGATAGCCGGGAGCTGTTTTACGTTGACGGATACCCCACGGTGGAGGATTCAAACGAGTCAGAGAAAGGCTTGGAAGGGAAAGACCAAGACATGAAGACGGGATGATGTGATCTTAGACTCATAATACCATACCCTGACGTTATCATTTAATGTTATTGGAACCACATGCTATGAGCTTAAGGCCCGGCCTACTTCCCTGTGGTTCTCGCGGGAATGATTCACGGGCTTGGATGTGAGTCATGCATGTAAGTTAGCCCATCTCACAAACCCCGGTTCGAGGCTGCCTCAGCTGCCGCGGGTGTCAATTCAATGAGCTTGCCCAGCCCAGCCACGAAGATGGCATCAAGTCTCAGCAGGCTCAAGTTCAATAAGTCGCAGCTTCTGGACTTGATCCGCAATAAGCCCCTCCACTGAATCAAAAGAGTAAGGGCGTCTTCAGCTTCTGATAGCGTCGGAGAAAGAGCAAAGAGCAAGACATTAAAATTGCTCGCGATGGCAAAGTTGACACGGGAATCTAGCCATGGTCAGCCATCTGGCGAATACTTCCGAGGAAAGCACGCTTCTCGTGTGGGAGGCTGGGGCAACGCTTACATGAATGCCAGAAAGCTTCAAGATGATGAGCCTCCAGTTTCGCGAGAAAGTCATGCATCTCTCGCGCGATAGTCATTGAACCGGTGCGCAACGCCGTGCGGGCTTCGGTTGGGACCTCGATGCTTTTCGGTCGAAGAAGGGCCTTGAAGACGGCAATCTTTGCGGTGATGTAGGCGAGTTTCAGACTACCATTCCCATCCAGGCCGCATTCTGGCAGAGATGCTGAGGGCTGTTCCCCTACGTCGGGTCGGATTTGCAGCCACTCTGCAAGCTCAATCCTCAAGGGCCGAGCAACTTCGAAAGTTGCTTCGAGCGACTTGGAGAGAGCTCTAGTGGCTTTGATAGAGCTACAACGGTCAATGAGCACCAATATCAGAGCAGTGACGCTGTGTTAGGATGCAACTTACAACATGTTTTGTTGAATCTTGGACACAATCTCAGTTAGAGAGGCTAGGTGCAGAAAGTGCCTACACACCAACGGCCCTTCACCTTCACAACCAGGAACATCACCAAAATCATCCGGCCCAAGCGACGAGACGTCCCAATCGCACTCCTGAATGTGCGAACTTCTGCCAAAGTTAAGGCTCAGCCACCTGTCCTGAACATACACCGCCCAAGCAAGCCTCCGCCGCAATCTCTTCTCCCAGCTCGGAATCGCCCAATCCAATGGGTCCAGATTGAGTCCCAAACACTGCGCGAGCGCCACCGTGTCTGCAAGCATGGTCCATTTGAACGGCGTGTCGGCGACGTGCTTGTTAGTTGGCCGTCGCTGAATCATGAGAAGCATCGTTTGCACCGTGGCGAGAGATGGAGTATGGAACTCGGATAGGGCGGCCATCCAGGCAAGTTTGAAGAGGTGGTCTGCCGAGGGGAGGGTGTCGACGTCTACACAGAGGATGTCGTCGAATACGCAGAAGGGGAGGGCGTGGCCATAGATTGCTGCCAGGAGACATATTGGCATTGCGGAGGGGCTGCCGTTAAGATTTTGGATTGTGTGTTCTTTGGATACGACCGGGAAGTAAGGTTGAACATACTTCCAGAAACTGCCACCAGTCAGTCGGAACTTCATTCTGAACTCAGGCATATTCGAGTGAGTATAAGAGGGTCTGGCCAATTCCTTACAGAGTGATGAGCCTTTGACCAACATTCTCAGAGACCAAGTCCGAGACCTCGCATCTAAGGTCGGCCGCGGTAGCTCCCAGCCCTCCTGGTTGCGCTTTACTAGCTTGTGAGTTGCGCTGTAGCATGAACTGAATGGGAACCCCATCTTCAGGCCCCATATTCCTGATGCGGAGTTGCTGAAACGTGCATTCGTCTCTCTCGTCGAAGTGGTACAGATTTAGCAAGTACGGATCCGATTCACCGCTGAGACCTATCACCTGAGCATTGTGGCCAGGCTCCGCGTCCAGCGACGACGGTATGAAGACATTCTCTCGACGTGGAACATCTGGTGAAGACGTTGTGTGTGGTGATGTCGGGCTCGCAGAGTCCATCAGCCCTCTCACAAAGATGGAATCGGCAATGGGCGAAACCTCCACAGACGGAAACCTCCCATCTGCTCCAGGGGCAGCTCCATCCTGTTGGTGATGGGGGCTCCGTATCCCATCGCTCGAGCCGCTTTGCCGCCGCTCGGATAGCCGTCTCCTCTTGTTAGGGCCCCCAACAAATGTGCACTCTTTGCCTAACCGTCGGCAGAGCTCACATGGTGGCGTGTCTTCGTGCACAAGGCAAGCGGCGCGCTTGTAACGGCAGAAGTCGCAAGGATGACTGTTCCTACTACTCTTTTTGGTCTGGCCGTTCAAGTTGATCTCCATGGTGTGGATTCAAAGATGGAAAGCATGTTAGGAAACTTGATGTCGTTGCGGACTTCATTCCCCGCGTCCTCCCCAGGATTCCATGTTGGTTGAGACTCTGAGTTGATCTGCAAACTATCGGACTCTGATAACGGGGCGTTGGCCGATTGGATCATTAGCAAAACAACCCTGCATTTCGATAGCAACAAGCTCCATGGTGTGAGAGTGATAAAGCTTCGGCTGATATTTATTCCATCTAAGCTCATGTTGTTATTCCCGCGGCCAACTAAGGAAACTAGATCCAATCCTGTCCTCTCGCCTTTCGTCCGTCACCGGAGCTCTTGTAGACGCCCCTCTTGGCCGTGGCACCGCCCATTCTAACTAATCCAACTAGGTGATGCACCCCAGCCAATACGCCGTCAACAACCTGCACGCCGTCCCCGACAGCCGCCTCTACGGCCCCCTTGAGCGGCGTCATACCCGCGCATCCCAGAAGCAACAAATCGGCCCCCTTTTCCTCCACCAGCTTCTTCCCGACGGCTGCCATGATTCCCATGACCTCATCCTGGCTCTTCTCGTGCAAGTCCAGCACGCCCAGCTTACACGAGACCACGCCGGCGCAGGAGGCTGAGAAGCCATAGTGGTGAATGCTATCCTCGTGCAACACCCTCGACCGCTCGCTCACGGCAATGAGCCCAAACCGCCCGCCCAGCGTTCGCGCCGCGAAGAGCGAGGCTTCCATGATCCCGATGACGGGCTGGCGAGGGAGTTCTTCGCGAAGCATGCGGATGAGGGCATGGTCGGAGTAGCACGCCACCAAGACGGCATCATGGGTCGCCGCAAGGGGCAGGACGGCGCGAGCGGCGGCCGCGGCAGACATAACGTTGTCAAAACTGCCTTCGATGGCTGAGGGCGCCGGCCTAGGCGCCGTGAAGCCTGTGACGAGGACGTCGGGGGGTAATTGGCTCTCGACCATGGCGACGCAGGCGTCGGTCATGGCGCGGGTGCTATTTGGGTTGATGAGGAGGATGCGGATCTTCTTCTGAGTCTGTCCAGGCGTGATGCCGTTACTTACTGCTCCGTTGTGTTTCTCGGCTAAGGGCGAGAGCTTGGAAGGCTCCACGACGCCGGTTTGTTCTGTGATGCGAGCATAATGCTCTACACGACGATGTCTGGCAAAGTCAAATGTGCGCTCCTTGCCCGGCCGGCACTCAGCCAGGTCAACTTCTGCATAGACGACCTCGTCCTCTGTTGTAGATGCCTCAGCGATGAGCTCGCCCTCCGGACCAGTGATGCAGCTACCGCCAATGAGGTCGTACTTCCCATCATCGAGACCACATCTCGCAGCGCTGATGCTGAAGCAGGCATTCGTGTAGCTATGAGCCTGCATCACCAACTTGTGGTGGAAGAGTGCCTTGCTCCGCGCCTCGTCCGGATCCATGCTGGCGCTGGTTCCCCAGAGATGCGGCGCGAAGCCGGCCGTGTTGTAGCCGCACAGTACGACCTCGACGCCCTGTAGACCCAAGACGCGCCAGCTCTCAGCCCATCTCCTGTCGTTGCAGATCATCATGCCGAAGATGGGGTCCCCGCGCTCCGGTGCCGCCTCCGGCTCCGTCAGATCGGGTACCCGGAACGCATTGAAGCCGAGGTCTCCAGGCTTGAAGTAACGCTTCTCTAGCTGGTTCGTGGCATCCGGGTCCGCAAAGGGCTCAAAGTCGCCCGGAAGATGGATCTTGCGGTACTTTGAGAGGATGGAGCCGCTCTTTGCGTGGTAGTAGATGCAGGAGTTGAAGGTTTCGCCGTCGTCGGCCTTTTCGGCAAAGCCGACCGAGATGTCGACGCCCAGCTCGTTGGCCTTATCGAATAGCGGCTTTGTCTGCGGCTGAGTCGCTACATCGCCGTGCTCGAAGAAGGAGTCAAGTTCAGAGGGGTCGTTTATCAGATGCCGGGGAAAGAAGGTTGTGAAGGCGGCTTCAGGGAAGAGAACTAGCTGTGCTCCCTTTGCGGCTGCGTCTTCAAGAAGTGATAGCATGCGATTCAGTGTCTTGGGCCGGGGGTCGTTGTAATGCGTTGCGCCCATCTGAGCCGCAGCCACGCGAAGCTTCCGTGATGGCATTGCCGCTGACTTCCTGTTTTTCTTGTGCAGTTGTCAAGTTGCTATGTTATCACATTCCCTCTTTTCACTGCCGCTATGCAAACTTCAGTCCAAACTTATTCTTTTCGCCTCGAGAAGTCGTTGAGCTCTTCTCCGAATCTCCCACAAAGTAGTGCTGGGTCTACCCCTCATGCATTGAGATCAGCGTGCAGTGCTCCGTATCGTCCGTCCTATTCCCTGCAGCTCCCTAAGGTAGTCTAAGTTGTGGGCGATAAGCGCCGATAGGCCGTCGGGTAGTTTGCCGTGGCTGCCTATCTTTATCTCAGATAGGCCTATTTATTCTTCGCAGGAACAGCGTTATCAAGTCTACAGCCAGTGTAGATGTCGTTAATGACTCTGTAGATACGCCATATGGTGTCAAGGGAAACTCGAGGACAGATTGAGAAAACTCTACGAATTACCGAAGCGAAGTTTGTTGTTGGTTGAGTGCCTCAAAAATCGCTTTTAGCATACTGAGACTCTTCTGCTGTCATAGCACACTGAGGTAAAGCGACATGGAGGTTGATCTCATCATTGAGAATGCCACAGTGGTGAGTACTACATGAATCATGTTGTAGCAAGGGCCCCATCGGCAAAATGACTGATGGAGAAACAAAATAGGTAACGGCATCTGATGTCCACGTGAGACAAGATATCGTGGTTCGCGACGGCAAGATCTTAGCTGTAGGCCAGGATCTCAAGTCTCTTTTCTCGGCCAAGACAGTGATAGATGCACAACATGGCTTCGTCATGCCGGGCGGCGTGGATTCCCATGTACACCTTGACCAGGTAAGAAAATGTTGTATTCAGTTTCCAAACAGAACTCCCTTGTCTAAACCAGTATCAGGACAACTCTCCAACAGGAGACAACTTTGAGACCGGCACTCGATCAGCGATTGCAGGAGGCACAACAACGATTATTGCCTTTGCTACACAGGAACGCACCCATCAGTCTCTTCACCCAGTCGTAGATGACTATCACTCACGCTCCCGAGGGAAGTCATACTGCGACTACGGTTTTCACATCATTCTCACAAACCCGACCCCCACCATCCTTCGCGATGAACTTCCATTCTTTGTCAGCGAGGGCATCACCTCCGTGAAGCTCTACATGACCTACGAGCCCTTGCAGCTCAAAGACGGCGAGATCCTAGATGTCATGATGGCTACGAGGAACCTAGGCATGACAACCATGGTGCACGCTGAAAACAGCGACATGATCACCTGGATCACGGCACGCCTTGCAGAGCAGAAACTCACTGCGCCGTACTATCACGCCATCAGCCGGCCCAACATCGCCGAAGATGAAGCAACGTACCGCATTATCGCCCTTGCTGAGCTCTCTGATATCCCCATTCTCATCGTCCACATGTCTTCCAAGACCTCCACCGCGCACGTCAGGAGCGCGCAGACAAGGCTCCTGCCAATTCACGCGGAGACGTGCCCCCACTACCTCTATCTCACAGCCGATGCCCTGAAGCCGTCTCATCCGGCCACTGATGGCTTCTCCGGCGCGAAGCATATCTGCAGTCCGCCATTACGTGAGGACCGCATGGATTTGGACGCCATGTGGGCTGGTATTGCCAATGGGACGTTTACGACCTTCAGCTCAGATCACGCGCCGAGTAAATATGATCACCCTGACGGCAAAAAGGCGGGATTGGGCAAGGAAGATGGCTTGATGAGGTACGACCAGGTTCCCAACGGGCTTCCCGGCGTTGAGACACGACTACCGCTGCTATTCGAGGGCGGCGTGTTAACGGGTAGAGTGACGCCACAGAAGTTTGTCGAGGTCACGGCGACGAACCCGGCAAAGCTTTACGGGTTGGGAGACACGAAGGGCGCGATTGCCGCAGGATATGATGCCGACTTTGTAATCTGGTATCCAACGATTGAGCAAGTTGCTGCCAGCGGCGGGACGGGCTCAGCAAAGATGGAGCCGTTTGTCTTGGAGAACTCGATGTTGCATCATGATATCGATTACTCGCCTTTCGAAGGGATGAAGTTTAACAATTGGCCGCGTTATACCATTTTGCGAGGCAAAGTGGTTTGGGACCGCGATAGTAGCGGTATTGTCAGCGATATGGGATATGGCGATTTTTTGCGGCGTGGAAAGAGCACATTGAGCAAGCCGAGGAATCAATGGGTGAATGAGTTCCAGCCATTGCCGATGAAATGATGTAGGCTAGTTCGATATCTATGGCCCTTCTTACTAAGTAGTCATTCACAGATAATTTAGCTCTGGTCCTGCACCACGGTTCGACCGGCCTTAGTAAACGATAGCTTACTTCACCAACCGATTTGACGCATCATCATCTTTGGTAGGTGGAGATCTTCCATAGCCAAGAGACAGACGTCTTCGCCCCTGAGCCCACTCGTGATATCGGCTACACATACTTGATTTTCCAATGTTTTCAACGATAAAGTTGCCAGATATTCTAGTACGATTTGGCTGAAGTCATGTAAATAACTTATCACATAGCGATAATCGGGCGTAAATACCCCTTCTAGATTCTATGGCGTTAATATATGTAAAGTAAGTCGACCCACCCCCTTTTAGCCACCCCATTTCTCTATCCCAGCCACCGTATTAAAACCCTACCCACGATTTTTAAACTATTATAATAATTATAAAAATCGTCTAAATATAATTCTTTTTTATATACTTATTTATTAATATATAATAATCTCGTATATTAAAAATAAAGTTATTTAGGTTTTTAAAATTATTAAAAAAGGTCTCTTAATTAATTAGGCTTCGATTAAGTTTAGAATTTTAAAATTAACTTTTTATAATTATAAGGGAAGTTATTAAATAAGGGTAATAATATTTATAAACCTCTAAAAGCTTTTTTTATAAAAAAAAAACTAACTAGTTTAATAAGTT